TTGTTAAAACAAAATGAAAGAACCTGGTCTTCCTATAACCGCAGTGAACTGTTTCCCAGTTAGGCTCCTATGCAAACGTTCTCTCTCTCTCTCTCTCTCTTTTTAAAAATCACATTGCCAGGACATTTTTGACTCTTTTCCAGAAGCATACTATCTCCATTTGACTCATTTCTCAAGATGATGGCTGCAGTATAGTTGGAGAAATGTGACAATGGAAATGACTGGCCAAGGTAACATGCTTAAATCAGTCCCATCCATCATAATGGGAATTTAATTTTCTTACCGACACTTGGATCAATGTGAATGCATAATTGTGGATAATTCACTTCTTTTATTTGCCCTTATTCTAACTACTGTATCACAGAACATATTCCCTGTCCATGACTCCCCTTCATTCCTAGCAACTGATTGATTATAAAGGTACATCTGGCTGCTGTTCAACAGCCCTTACAAACCTATGTACTGATGGCAACAGACCCCAGTACCCCACCTTCTGGGTTTCTCCCCTCCAGAAAGCAATGGAGCCACTGTACAACAGTGCCTCCAACTTCCATCCCAGTTAGGCAGCCCAGAAAGATACCATTATTGATGGCATTAAAGCTGTTCACAAGTCCAGCAAAGCCAACAGGGACACATTCTCCCTGTCCATTTCCAAGCATAGTTCATTAACAAAGGCAACCAACACCATTTCAGGTCCATAACAACAATGAATCGAGACTGAAATTGATCTAGAAAAAAAACTCTTGGAACTAAACAGAGAAATTATCTCCAGGATGAGCAAGGCAATGGGGACTTTTTAGGCTGCTAAATTTGTGTACAAACAATGCTGTTTCAAACTACAGTTGACCCTCAACATTCACTGGGGTTAGGGGCACAGAACCTCCATGAAAGTGGGAAACATGCAAATAAAAAACTTTTTTTAAAACCTGAGAGAACACCTCTCTAGAGATCTCTAGGACCTCTAGGGCATCTCTATGATTAACATCTGCTGTAAGGTGACACAACATCTGCTATGAATTGCACTGGAGGAGTATAAATGCCTAAAGAAGTGTTCTCTCTATGAATCTCTAGGTCCTCCAGAGCAACATCTAGTGTTGGCCACAGAGTTGCTCTGGAGGGCCTAGAAAGAACATATTAATAAAATCCATGAATAATCAAGTCCACAAATGTCAAAGCTGCAAATACAGGACCGACTGTACTGTCCTTTCAGTCAGCACAGAAGACTGACTGACTAATTAAAAAAAATGCAAACAGCCCATTCAATTGTTCTAGTTTAAAGGTGCAACAAGGTAGCAGCTATTGTAATTTTTGCAAATACTATTCCCACAAATGGGAGAACTCTTGCCCCAAAGCCTAGGAAATATCTCACCACCATGCTGGCAAGGATAAAATGTTAGGGATGTAATTCTTCACTGATTTTCTTCTTGAGTGAAGGAACAAGTAATTTTGGCTATTTTTTTTCACACTGAGAAAGTCTTAGAAGATCACAGTTTCAAAGCCTTTTCACAACTGGGAACATATTCTGTGCAAAATTTGCATTTATTGTGGGTGTCCTGTTCATGTTTCTTGTCAATCTAGGATTCTTCTCATCAGAGATATGCAACACTTGAAAAAACATGTTTTGGAGGCATTATTGGAATATTTTCCAACATTCTATCCATCCTTAGAAGAAGTTATATGGTTTCTGATTCTTGAGTGCAAAATTGAAATGAGCTAGGATTTACCTCCCTAATATTAATAGCGGCAGCAGCAGAATTAAATTGTTCAAGCATTTCATGCAATTTCCCACATTATCTCAATTAAACTAAACAAAACACAGCAGTACCAACTAATAATATGGCAGGAAGAAGCCATACTTTCTGTACTCTCTTTGGTGTACCTACTGAACCTGAGATGTGGCATGGAATGGCACCTAACTAGGATCTGAACTTATAAACAGGTTGGCATGAGAACAGGAATCACTCTAGTATCCATTGTACCTTTGCTCTTCAATTTTTCACAGATCAAAATTGGGACACAGGTGGCCAAGCAGAATCAAGAGTATGGTCAAGATGGGAAAAATTATTAATGAGGAAGAACAGTTTGCTTTTGCTTAATACTACTGGGAAGTGCAAGATTCTGCTCCATACTTCCTCTCTTCTCCTTTCTGATGAGTTGAGTGCAAACTATTTTTAAAGTAAAAATATAGGGAGAAAAGAGGAAAGAGAAACTGGGACATTTAAAAAGAAACTGAAAAGTGAAGATTAACCAGGATTGTCTCCACCAAATCAGGAGTATGAGTATTTTGGTCTCAATCTGCATAAGGTATTAAAATGTGTTGTGGCGCTATTAATGGACTCAGTGTCAAATACCTGAAACAGGGATAGAAAATTTGTAGCACTTCAGATAGTGTTGAACTGCAAGTTGTGCTTGCTGTGGCTTGTTGTGGCTAATAGGAACTGAAGTCTAATAACCACTAGACTCATTCTAAATTAAGTGATTGTATGATCTCAGTTCAGTTTAGATTCTTTCCTTTGTGCACATCTGAATTTTAATTTCATTTTGAGCTTGAGCTAAAGAACATCAGTGCCCAGGTTGGATAGACTTGTGGTTTCTAAGGAGGTAGAGTTGATCACCTCCGTATGAACCTTGAGTCCAATCTGCCACATCATGAAAGGAACAAACAGGATTAAAAGACTAACATTGTGATTTCAAAGTAACAAAGAAGATATGGACTTAAAGGGTGAGCAATCACCCTTATAATAAAAGTGAGGTCAGTTTCAAAAATGAGGGAAAATTCTTAAATGTCAGTTCAAAGATTTTATGGCAACAGCTTTAATGCCAACTCCAAGTAGTGGTGGTAGGGAGGAATGTTATGTCTCCCTCCTATCCTTTTTGGGTATGTTTGTGACTTCTTGGTATCTAGCATTCCAACATCATGACGCCAAGGGTAAAAAAGAGCTAGTCTTTCTGAGACGGCACCTTCCATGGATCAGAGTAAACTTCATCCTTGAGCCATTTGTCAGAAACCACTGATCGCTCTCAAGGGAAAAGGAAACATGACTATGGTTGTCCATTTCATTAGCTAAAAGGATTCTTGTTGTTAGCATTCTATTTCATTTTGAGGAAAAAGAACTATAACTAAAAGCTGGCTTACTTTCAGAAAGAAAATACGCTGTTAACAAAAGACAGCACAATCCTGTACATTTCTGCCAAGCAGTATGCAAAATTTTCTATTGAACCTTGCTATTGAACTCAAGAGAGCCAGTGGGGTGCAGTGGTTTGAGTGCTAGACTACAACTCTGGAGACCAAGGTTTGATTCCCAGCTTGGCATGAAACCTACTGGGTGACTCTGGGCGAGTCACACTCTCTCAGGGAAGGCAATGACAACCCTCTTCAGAACAAATCTTGCCAAGAAAACCCCATGATAGGTTTGCCATTCATTGGAAATGACACGAAGCACACAATAACAACAGAGGATTAATTGAGATTGCCAAGTCTGGACAGTTGGGGTTGGGATGTAGTTTGTTTATTGAAATGTAACATTGCAATAGAGCAAACTGTATTCTAGAATCATTCTCTTCACAATACACGTAACCCTTCTGTTCCCCAATCCCTCCTTATAAATATCCTTCCAAATTCCCTGTATCTCAGTCCTGCAATACCACAATCTCAAAAGGCTCAGTGAACAAAATTAACAAAAAAGAAGTGTGGCATAGAAGAGAGAAAATTGACTGCTCCTATAAGTTAATTGAATTTGGCCACATCCGAGTAGCTTTGTTAAACCAGTCTTAGCATTTGTTCTTCCCCAAACAATACTTCAGTATTTCAAGACTGTTTAATATAATTTCTTTCCCTCTCTTCACCCCACTATCCCAACTTGGCTGACTTGGCCATAACTATCTAAAGATTTAATGTGCTGGCAATTTTAGTACTCTGATGCCTTCAAGTAGAACTAATCTAATATCCAGGATTTGTAAAAGATCTTTCACACAAAATATTCCCTAAATAGGAAAAAGAGACTATACATATCCTTGAATAACAATTAGTACTGTGGAAATCTGCACTCCATACAGTTGGAATATAATTAACATGCTAAAACCATAATTTCAAAACAAGGAGAATGGGAGTTATGGAGAGCAAGAGGTCATTGTGTTTGCTGACTGGAAAAAAAGCAAAATTAAACATCATATGAATCATGCCAAATGGAATAGTTTGGCATGATTACCCCCTCCCTCATAAAAGATGCATTGATAGGGTTGTTTGGTTGCTTGTTGCATATATATCACTCCTTCTCTCTGTATCAGGCCAGGAATCTTCAGAAAGACTGTTAACTTCAAAAAATATTTCATATAATTAAATCTGCAGGATAAATATTTGAAATTTAAACCACATTCAAAGTATTTCATCCTTCAAAGAGAATCCCTAGTAAGGATGTACTTGAAATAATCAACTGTAATATGATATTGCCAACTTGTGCATTTAATTCAAGTGATGAAATCACGGTGGACTTAGTTTCATTTTACATCTGAATGTACTTTGGAAAATAACTTGCAGTTCAGTCTTGTAACTTGCAGAACAAACACACACTCAGTACACTGATATAAACATAACTAACCTCCAATTAAATGTGCATGTGTCTCCAGTGTTAGCACTATTGAGCCTGACTTTTATGGCAGCTAAAAGAAAACCACCTGCATATCCATGCCCTGAAACAAGTACAAAAAAATTCTAATGTAATTTTGAGTTCTAAAGGCAGAGCAGATTAATTCTATATTCTGCATTGGCTGAACACTAGTAGCTCTTAATCTCTTACACAATATGAACCCTTGCAATCAGAACAAACCTTGTCAATAATCTATTAAAAAACAACAACAACCAACTTGCAAATGTTGCTGCAATTGTAGGGTTTTTTTTTTTTTTTTTTTGGATGGGGACTATTTTCCCCCTTTTTCTATGCCTCCATTCTCCTAGAGTGGGACCCAAGGGGGCTTCGAGATGGAGTCAATTTGAAAACTGCACAATAAAAATGTAAAAAACATTTGAAATCCCCACCGAAAACAGTACAACATTATTTAGAAGTCATATGAGTGTTAACAAAGATAAATAAAACATCCTAATAAGAGGCACTCTTGTGTACACATTAAAAATGTGCTGAAACAAAAAGGGTTTTTTGCCTGCTGGCAAAAGGAAGGCAGGGAGGAGGGCAGTCTAACCTCCTGTGGAAGGGAGTTCTAGAGCAGGGGTAGGCAACCTTTCCCCTTTAAGGGCCGAGGGACTTCACCCCCCAGAAGCCTCAGCCATGTTGGCCAATAGTCCCATGTTGGCCAATAGCTCCTGGGATTCTGGGAGCTGAAGTTCCTCGGCCCTTAAAGGGGAAAGGTTGCCTACCCCTGTTCTAGAGGTTGGCAGCAGCCACTGAGAAGACTCGCACTCATGTCCACACCAACCAAGCCTCTGATGGTATCGGACTGAGAAAAAGCCTTCCCCTGAAGATCTTAGGATTCTTGAAGATTTGTATGGGAAGATAACTTGAGGTGTGGTTGATACACGGACACCTATTGTAACATTAAGTCAACCAGCTTCAACAGATCCAAAATCTTAGGTTTATCATGTCACTTCATTTCCACTCCATTGAGTCCTTTATACATTCATTCTACATTCAAATGTACACAATTAATAAGTATGTCAACTGGTATAGTGGTTTGAGACATTGGACTATGACTCTGGAGACCAGGATTTGAATCTCAGCTCACCCTTGGAAACCCACTGGATGGCCTTGGGCAAATCACTCTCTCTAAGCCTCAGAGGATGGTAATGAATAGTAAAGTTAATTGTGAAACTGGTGTGGTTGAACCAGTATCATCACAAATATCCAAGGATTCTATTTGCACAGGGACACAGAAGATGGTCATGGCAAAAGAAACTTGCCAAGAAAATTCCCTGATAAGTTTGACTTAGGGTTGCCATAAGTCTCAAATGACTCGAAGGCGCACAACAACAACAACGAAATAAGTATACATATTTATGAATGGGCTGTCAACCAAAGTACATGCAGACCATATGCTTGTTATCTGTGCCTGACATAGCACATGGACTGAAAAGTCATACATTGTTTTACAGTGGTTTAGCCATTCGAGTGAGAAGAAACAGGGCACCTCAAGCTAACAGCAAATGTTAACATACACACATACACCATCTAGACATCTAGACACCACCAATCCAGACAAAATGGAGGTGCTCACAGTATCAGCCCCGAAACCGGGAATTCGGTTACAACCGCCAGTCCTGGATGGG